GGGAGGTGGAGGCTGAGGCTGAGATGGTGGTTGAGGGTGGTGGTGGTTGAGGTGGTGGAGGTGGTGGAGGTGGTGGAGGAGGAGGAGGAGGAGGAGGAGGAGGAGGAGGAGGAGGAGGAGGAAGGAGGAGGAGGAGGAGGAGAGGAGGAGGTGGAGTGGAGGGTAGATATGGTGGAGGTGAAGGGGGAGCAAGAAGAAAAAGAAAAGGAGGGGGAGGAGGAGGCAAAAGTTCAGGTGGAAGTAGAGTTAAAAAACATTACTGGAAGGACGAAGAAGAAATAAGGATAAAAAACGAGAGCACACGAAAGACAGACAAACGCGCAGACAGACAGACAGACAAACAAACAGCCCATGCGGTTCCTGAATCAGAGATCAACTTTCGAAAGAAAAAGAAAAAAAAGGAGGATCAGAAAGGATTAAGAAGACATTATTGGACATCGAGATTGATAAGAGAAAAAAAAGATGTTGTTGCTGGCAATATTAATTGATAAAAAGGAGTCGTGTTAATGGAGTTTCTGGCTGTGAACAACAACTTTTTGAGAGAAGGGGGAGAGGGGGAAGGGTGAAGAAGGAAGAGGGAGAGGGGGACTCAAAGAAAAGGAAATAATATTAGGAAAATAGGAAAAACAAGACGAAAGGAAGGGATTGTGGTAGCACGAATGGTCGTTGTCGGTAAATTAGGGATAGGAAACGACCGAGCAATGAAAGGCTAGTTATGGAATATGCAAAAAAACATGAATTTGATATAGAAAGAAAGATAGAGCAAAACTAAAAGCTACAAACAAAATATATGAGACCGCCAGAGAAATAAGCAAGAAAAGAGTAAAATACAACAAAAACCAACAGAAAAAAACAGACAACAGCAACATGCAATAATGCAATACAACACACAAAAAGGACTACACAAAAAACAAACAACAGACAGAAACAGACAAGACAACACAAAAGAGCAGAAAGAGAGAAGGAGAGGGGAGAAGCGAAAGAGAGAAGTAGAAAGAAGAAGAGAGAAAAAAAAAAAATAAAAAAAGAAACTTGAAATTGCAAAAGAAGACAGACAGACAGACATAAACAGTCAGACAGATAGACAGACAGACAAACAGCAACCACCACAACCAAACAACAACAAAACCAACAACAGCGACATCTACGGGCGTCCAAGGAAGCGGCCACCGAAGCCCCGACCGAAGCAGGAATCGAAACGCACCGCGCTTGACCCGTGGCCGATACGCGTGCTTGGCTCCGTGACCTCTGAGCCCCCTCCCTCCCCTAGACCTAGACCTCCTCCCCTAGACCTCCTCCCCTAGACCTCCTCCCCTAGACCTCCTCCCCTAGACCTGACCTCCTAGACCTCCTCCCCTAGAAGACCCTCCCAGACCTCCTCCTAGACCTCCTCCCCTGGACCTCCTCCCCTCTCCCTACATGCGAACGAGGAAATGAGGCAAGGCAGATTCTTTGGCGGAGGGGAAGGGAGAGGAGGGGGGAGGGAAGTAGAAAAGGGCGAGGGGGAAGTGGGTAGAAAAGGGCGAGGGGTGAGGGGGGCGGGATGGGGGAGAGGGTAGAAAAGGTGGGGTGAGTGGGTAAAAGGGCGAGGGGGGAGGGTGCGGGATGGGATGGGTGGGTAGGAAAAGGCGAGGGGGAGGGGTATTGAGGGAAGGGGTAAGGGGAGGTTTGGGTAGGGAGGGGAGATAAGGGGTAAGGGGGGGTTTGGATGGGGAGGGAGGTAAGGGGTGAAGAGAGGGAGGGGAAGAGAAGCGAAAGGGGGGGGGTGAGGTAAGGGGAAGTGGGATGGGAAAGAGAGGGGAGGGGGTTAGAGGGAAGAGGTGAGGGGAAGGGATGAGGATGGGGTTTAGGGAAGAGAGGGGAGAAGAAAAGAGGGTTAGGGGAAGGGAGAGGAGAGGAGGATAGAAAGAGGGGGAGGGATGGGTAATGGGTTAGAAGGATTGAGAGAAGATGGGGAAGTCCCTAAAAGATATTATTAGGGGAGGGGAATATAGAGGAAGGAGGAGGGAGGAATGGAAGGAGGGGAGAGGGAGGGGAGGGAAGTGAAAGATAGTGCAGTGCATGGAAGTGGGAGACAGGGGGAGAGTTCGAAGGAGGGGAGAAGGAGAGTAGAGAGATAATCGGGGGGGGGGGGTGAAGGAATGAGGAGGGTTAAGGTTATGCAGGAATAGAGGTAAAGGAGTGAAGGAACTCCGTGAAAGAAAATACTTGAAGAGAGTGAGAGAGAAGGGGGGGGGGGGGGAGGTCAGGAGAAGCGTAGATGGGATAAAGCAAGAGAGAATAATAAAAAAAAAAAATCAAGAAAAAAGAAACATACCGAAACAAAACGAAAGAGAGAGATCACAAAAAAACAAAAAACAAAAACGAAAAGAGAATCATAAAAGAAAAAACCAAAACGAAGCCCAAAAAGCGAAAGAGAGAGAAAGAGTCCCAAGAAAGAAACAAAGAGAGAGAGAAGCAACAAGAAGAAAAAAGTGGCTAGGCAGCGTGCACGGGCGGCCTGCAGGAGCGACGACGCCCAGAACGCCCACGTCAACCCTGCATGGTCCAGTCTGCCTCCGCCCACGAAGCCCAGACGCGCGACCTTGGCTCCTCCAGGGAAGAGCGTCGCCTCTGCCCCCTCCTCGCCCGCTTCCTCGTCTCAGGCTTCTTAGTCTTATTCTTATTATTATTGTTCTTGGTGTTTTTCTTCTCGTTTTTTTATTGTCATTTGCTTCTGTTTCCTTTTTAAATCATTATTTGGTCTTCTTCCCTTTTTTATCATTATTTGGTCTTCTTCCCTTTTTTGTCATCGTCTGCTCTTCCTCTCTTTTTTATCACCGTCTGCTCTTCCTCCGTTTTTTATCATCTGCTCCTCTTCCCTTTTTTATCATCATCTGCTCATTTTTCCTATTTTCTTCACCTTCTTATTCGTCTTATTCCTTTTCCTCTTTTTCGCCTTTCTTATTCAATCGTCCTCTTTTTCCTCTTCGTATTCGTATCGTCCTCATTTCTCCTTCCTCTCCTCATCATGCATCATCTCCTCTTTTTCCTCCTCGTATTCTCCTCCAGTCCTCCTTCTCTCTTCCTCTTCTGTCGTCCTCCTCCTATCTCTCTCTGTCCTCTTGCCCTCCTCCTCCACCTCCAAACCCTTCCTCTCTCCACTCCTCATTCCTCTCCTCCTTCCTCCTCCTCCTCCTGCTCTTTCTATCTCCTCGTTCTCTTTCTTATTCCCGTCCTTATCCCACCACTTTTTCCTCCTCATCTCCCCCTCCTCTCCTCCTCCCTATGTCCACATACAACATGTTCACTCACATACCATGTCTTTACCACTATCCATTTCTCATTAGTCGTAAAGACCGAATTTAAGCAGAAAACGAACGTAAAATGACCCTTACGACAGCATCGTCTGTACCACTAACGTAATGGTGGCGGTGTAAGTGATAGTTGAAACAGAGATTGGCGTTATGACTGTTATTAGGGTGATTATGGTAAAAAGGTGGTCGTTGTGTTAGTTATGGTGTGTGTGTGGTCTCTCTCTCTCTCTTTAGGTCGCTTTCTGTCTCTTGTCTTTTATCTTCTATCTTCTATGTCTCTGTTTCTTCTGTTCTCTTTCTCTCTCTCTCTCTCTCTCTCTCTCTCTCTCTCTCTCTCTCTCTCTCTCTCTCTCTCTCTCTCTCTCTCTCTCTCTCTCTCTCTCTCTCTCTCTCTCTCTCTCTCTCTCTCTCTCTCTCTCAGTCTGTCTGTCTGTCTCTCTCGCTCTCGCTTTCTCTGTCTGTCTCTCTGTCTATTTCTTTATCTCTCTATTTCTTTCCTGCTCACTTTCCTTCCTCCTCCTCCTCCTCCTCTCCTCCTCTCCTCCTCCTCCTCCTCCTCCTCCTCCTCCTCCTCCTCCCTATTTTTTCACCAGTATTATCATTGCTATTGCTAGCATCGTTGTTATTGCTCTTTTTATGATTATTTCTAGTGTTATCACAATAATAAAGAGATGATCTCATATTACACTACAGTTGTACAACCATTTTTTCACTTTTCATTTTTTTATTTTTACACTTATTACAACCATTTTTCTGCCTTTTTATGCCTCACGGTATCAATTAGATAAATCATGATTATTATCGTAGTAAAAAAAATCGAACCCTGATTACATGACGTCATATTCACGGACGAGTGCACGTGACCCAGGGCAAGGTCAGCCGCACCATGATGGTAGTGGTAGGGATGGTAGTGTCATGATCCCTGTGTTGTAAGAATTGCGTGTTTTTTTTTAATGATACCAGCGGTGTTTGTGATTTATAATGACGGTAATTAAGGGGTTATGATGATGGTAATAATGATTATAACGATAATGATAATGATAGTAATAGTAATAATGATTAAAAAGATAATGATAATGATGATAAAAATAAGTAGTAACATAACAATAATGATAATTATGATAATAATAATAATAATAATAATATAACAATAGTAATCTAAAATAATAAGCGTAATAACGATGCCGATGACACTGCCCCTGATAAGGATAATGACCCTAAGCAGCAGCGGCGATAAAGCCCGCGCGACGCCGAGGAGGAGCGGGCGGCGGCGGCGGCTTCTCGTCCCCAGCGATGAGCACGTGAAAAGGTCCCTTGTGTAAACTCTTACGCCGCGATGTAAACAAAAAACGACCCCGCGTAAACATAAACAGTCGCGAGGTGGAGTGAGCAGGCGCTGTGTGTGTGTGTGCGTGTGTGTACGTGCGCGCTTGTGCTCACGGACGCGTACATGGTTTGTGCACGTATACATGGGTGAGCTTTCTCGTTGAATGCGCATGTGCGTTCGTTTTGTAATACGGGGTAGGTGTACACACGCACTCAAGCACGGACGGATGGACGCGCGCGCGCGCACACAACACACAACACACACACACACACACACACACACACACACACACACACACACACACACACACACACACACACACACACACACCACACACACCACACACACGCTCACCACGCACTCGCACACGCACGCAC